GATTTTTTTCTCTTGTGTTGTTAAACAAAAAACAAAAAATAAGTTATTTGCGGTTTCTACTATTTAGCCTTTTAGTAGGAGTAAAAACAGGGGTTTGGTGTAAATATCTGTTCTTTTTTGAACTTTCAATTTTACCTTTATAGGAATTACTTTTATTTTAACTACCAAAATATATGCTTATAACTTTTTTTCCGACAACCAACCAGCATTAGTCTATTCTATACCTAATCTAACTTATTTGTGCACTACACATAGATATGGATTTAAATCACTCAAGTGACAAGTTACATATAGTAGCAATTGGTGGGAGTCAAAATTTAAACTCTTGACCTCATGCCCCACCAAAATCACGATGGTCAACCGTGGTTATGTGCTTATAATTAGTTGTCTCAAAAACATGTTTTGCTTTAAATATTCACTTTCAACATAACTAACACTAAGCATTATGACTATTAATATGACAATCATTATGTAAAAGAAATTTAAGAGATTAAAGTTTGCTTTATAAATAAAAAAATTCATATTGAATTTATGTATCATAATAATAATATTATACATCTCTTTATTGCACAGGGTCGGGTCCAATGTGATGTCATCAATATCTTGAGATCTTGATTATGTTCCTAAAATCCAAGTAAATTAACGTCATTAAGCATCCACCATTTCAACCTTCCTCTGTATAAATACGACCCTTTTGTTTTGCTGCAACTTCAACTATCTCCGCATCATACCATCATTCTCCAATTAGACAAGTTTTCCTTCAGCTATCACTTCAACTCTCAAATTAACTTGGTTGTTTCTTTCTCCGAAAACATTGTAGAAGGTACCCCATTTATCATCTGCTTATTTTCTTTGTCCATTTGGTATAATTTGTGAAGCAGGTTAAGATTTAGGTGGTTGACAACGTTCCTATAGAACGTGAAAATGAAGGGTCTCCATTCTTTGCTGGGATTTTTTATTTTGCTCCCCCTATTGGTGTGTTTATCTTTACCTTATATGATGATAAAGATTAGATTTTTACTAAGAAACATGGGCAAAGTCACCATCTTTACATTATTACTATGTTTATCTGCTGTTTGTGTGTTCTTTAACTTAATTTAATGCACAAGCTACTCAGTGGTGATTTTTTGCATTTGTGCAGGGGTTGTCCTGAGGTTTAATGGAGGAGGTGTTTGTTGTAAATGGTGTGAGAAAGGATGAGTTGCTTCCTGCATTTAACGATGACCATGGAGGGGTCATAGTGGAGTTGAAAGAGCCTATGGACTCCAATAACTTCCGTTCCAGGCTCAGAGCTTCGCTATTTCAGTGGAAGCTTCAGGTATTATCTGACTGGAAGTTACTGTAGAACAATTCTTTAGGTATTATGTTAGTTGATTCTTGAACTTGTTTTGTTCATAAGGCCCAAATGAATCTGCCCGAGTGAGGTTATAGGTTGAACTAATGATGATTGCACAAGTATATTAATCTTCAAGGGGATACTTCTCCTATTTTTGTAGAATAATGTCTGGGTGTGGATAAGTTCTGCTTTTACTATAGAAAGTTGAAGTTCTTACTTTTATTAGTCGAAAAGAAGTGATATTTTGTAGAACACATTGATGGAATTGTTAGTTGAATTCATCAGTTTTCAGTTGAAGTAATATCAGCTATCCCTATGCCTGCTTGGAACTGTAAATTGTTATTCAATCGAAATATATCGCATTAATTACTATAGAGAAAGATATAAACAAGTTTAAAACTATAATGATGATTTTATATGTATGAAAAGTCAACCTCTATGATATATGATCAGAGTTGCATTATAATGTGTTGATACTTGATGATGGCCTCATCTCATCCACTACTCAACGTTGCAATCTTCTTGTCTTAGAAAATACTAGTATTTGACAAGATTGAATTGCAGGGGAAGAAGGGCGTTTGGATCAAAATTCCCATCGGACTTGTAAATCTTGTTGAAACTGCAGTTAAGGTACTCTTCTCATTACCTGTATAGATCTTTGATGGTTTAACTTGATGCTATGAGTTGTACATTTTGTAGGAATGTTGCCTACTAACCTGCGATGTCTTTAGCAGGAAGGATTTTGGTATCACCACGCTGAGCCTGATTACCTGATGCTTGTCAATTGGATTCCTGTAATTGATAATACTATCCCAGCAAATGCTACGCACCGCGTTAGTATTGGGGCTATTATTGTAAATGATAAAAGGGAGGTATGTTGAAGTTTCAACCTCTGCTAGCACTTAAATTAGTTATGTATCTACGAGTGTTAGTATCTGTATATACATGATAGGCTAGGTGAATGTTAAGTGTGTTAACGAGTGCCCATTGGGCACCCATTCAAAAGACCCTTAAAGGATTAACGCTTTAGTCAAGAACTTGTAGCTCTTTTTTTTTGTATTCATTCCCCTAATTTAAAGGTTTACAGGTTGAGTCACTGCCAAATGCCCCAGTCTTACAAATGAGTTAAGCTGCACATAAGATGTTAAGTAGTTGGTTTTCAGGATAAATCAAAAAGATATTTGTTGCCTAAAGCAACCAGTGGATTGTGCCACTTTATATGACCAGGACCTTGTTTCCATTACTATAGATTAGATTGTGCCAAATCTGACACTTGGGTTTCATGCTTTTCTGTGCTGTGTGTATCTCTTGTTCGTCATTATTTATTACTCCTAGTGAAGTATACACTGATCAGCAATAACTCCGATCCACTAGATTGATCCATGACTTCTACTCATTTCTCTCCCTGAGTCTCTGTATTTTTTCTCCAGTTGCTTGTTGTCCAGGAAAAGAATGGAAAATTGAAGGGGAAGGGGATATGGAAGATTCCCACAGGAGTCATTGAACAGGTACGTTTGGCTTCACCAAAAGATTATGCAATTATACCTCCTGATCCAGATAATTCATCTAACCCACGAATAGGTTTAATGTCCTGAAGTTTCTATTAGCTGAAGGTTCTAGCAGGTCTTTCTTATTTTACGTATATTGAGGCTCTTTAACTTTCAGGGTGAGGATATATTTGCTGGTGCAATAAGAGAAGTAAAAGAAGAAACAGGAGTAAGTAATGATTTTCATAATATAGATAGATATACAGAAAACGTGAATGTATATTCCTCTGTTACACTCTTTCTGGTATATTTGTAAGACTCCTGGGTTTTTCCTATGTAGGTTGACACAGAATTTGTGGAATTACTAGCATTCAGGTGCCACTTTTGCATAACATCTCAGTTGTGTTTATTCAATCTGAATCCATGTTGTGCATGTATAAACTTGTCATCCAGTTATATATATTGAAGAGTGGAAAATAATTTTTGTCATATGTAATTAGATCATGGAAGTCTTTGAAGTGATTTTGAGGTCCAATTCTGATTAGCCTTGGAAGTTTCAGAATTGAGGGAATTTGGGAATTGGATTAAGCCAAGTGAAATTTGTTTTTACTTAGTGGGTTTATGGGGCAGTCTCTATGTTTTTGAGGGTCCGTTTGACAAAACTGAAATCTGAAATCTGAAGTCTGAATCCATCAAGTTATTGAATTATTAAGTATTAAATCTAATACATTTGAGTGTACATCGCATTCAGTGATAAGTGAATAGTTTATCACTTAATTTTGGGAGTAAGTTTTGCCTAGGAAATTCGGTGCCATTTAATTAATTCAGATGTTCAATTTTTGGTTATCAAACAGTCTAAATATGTTAAGATCTGAATCCATTAAGTTTAAGCAATGAACTGGATTATTAAACAGAGCCTGAGTGTATTCTGGAACGAATCTATTGGATTGTGGTAAAACCATGTCCAAAGATAAGTCTAATGGAAAATTACATTTTTTAGTTCATTGGTATGATGACTGATGATGTGTTTCATGTTAACCCTGAGTTTTAACTGATGATGATAGGCAAATGCACAAGGCACTCTTTGGAAAGTCAGACTTGTTGTTCTTGTGCATGCTGCGCCCTTTATCATATAAAATCCAAAAGCAAGATCTTGAAATTGAGGCCGCCCAGGTACACAGGAATTGCTTCTTCAGTGTTCCTCATAGCTGGATTCTTCAATAGCATTCATTGCTTAATTCGAATCTGATTGGCATTATTGGCTTATATGTTGCAAAATACTTCTTTGACCAGTGGATGCCGTTGGAAGAGTATGCAGCTCAGCCTTTTACTCAGAAACACGGCCTCTACAAGTACATTAACGACTTGTGTTTAGCAAAATTAGATGGAAGCTACGCCGGATTTACTCCGCGGCCGGTCACATCCATCTTCAGTGATTCAATAAGCTATTTGTATGTGAACAAGCAGGATCTGAACTGCAGGATCTTTAGTCTTAACTGAATCAATGCCAAAAATGTTAAGCAGGGGAGTAGAGCTGTGAATATTCTGCTGTAACTATGATTATCTGCAATAATTTTTTTGATTTTTGTACGACGACTCTCCTCACTGTCTATGAGGGATGATGAATTAATAAGGTAATTAAAGTGTGCATGAATTGCTTGAGCAAATCATTTAGAGCATCCAACTTTTGGTACTCAAATATACTACATTCCGTTGATGGAGCGAGTCTTTAGCAGTATTGCAGATGTGATTGCAACATATTTCAAACAAGTCCTGCATGAATAATTTGTCTGCTTGAGGTTGATGAACAGTTTAGGACAAAAAAGCTGTTGCCTAATAGCCTCCTTTGTTTAATGCCCAGATGAATTTCTGTTTCAGTATGTATAAAATTGACTCTTTGTTTAATGCCCAGATGGGTAGTTCGTGTGCCCTAGTTACTTGGAACATATTATTTATTGCAAGGTCTTAAGATGATGAGTTCGCACTCTTTTGTATTTCATCGTTGGTACTTATGCCACAATTCCAAAGTTCAGACTGAACAGATGTTACTTAAAATATGCTCTCTATTTGACGTGGTTTAGATGCAAACAGGCTAGCACATAAATGATCTGAGAAACTCATGATTCTTTTCTACCACCCAAAAGAAAAAAGATGAAAAAACAAAAAAATTTCTTGTGTGTAAAAGAATTGGAGTGTGTCATCTTTTCTTTCACTAAAACCTGGCAAATGCCAGAATTGTAGTACAATAACCGCATGACCACCGCGCAAAATCCTCACTCCGCTCAGGCACCACTAAAATACATCAAACGATCCCCACCCGAAAAAGGAAAAAATAAAAAAAAGTGGAAATAACAAAATGCACACTCATACTACTACTAAATAAAGACCCTCAAACTAACGTATTTAAATACAAATAAATTACTACCCCTAGCCAAACACGCCCTTAAATTATTTGACCCCCTTTGAAAGAAAGAGGTGTCAAAAAACATAAAAGAAAAGGGGAAAATCTTAGAGAAGTAAAATAATGAGCCACAGACTGAAACAAACAGCTGCAAATCTTCCACCGTCAAATCTAACGGCACCGTTAACGTCCGCTGCTGTTTGATCCGCAGCAGGGCCGTCTGCAGGAGAACCTGCGGCAGGCGGTGCAGGCGGCGACTTGTGCTTCTTCGAAGGCTCGGGAGCATCAGCCACCGGTCCCGGTGCCGGCGCCGGTGCCGGAGTCGGAGCCAGAGAACCCTTGAACAACTCCCTGGGCAACAAGACCTTATCCAGCTCAAATATAGCCAACGGCTGTTCATCGAATATCGTCGACGTTATCCTCGCCGTCACGAGTGGCGTCTTCAGCGTCACCTGCTGGCCGTCATTTTGCACAACGAGGCCGAACTTTTTAGCGCCGTCAGTGGCTAACGTGTTAATAGGGCCGTTATTGGATTTCAAAGATGACTCGGGCTCGTAAATCGGAACGCCGTGAAACTCGAGTAACGACTGTTTACCGTCCGCCGTTAAGTTTTTGAATTTGGGTAAAAAGCTCTTCATTGCAGCGTCACCCGGGCAAAAAATCGTTAACCCACCGTCAACACTGCTGTCGAATGTCTGCTCAGCTGGAGAAGCTAATAAAGTCTCGGCGAAAACTTTACAGCCGTGAGCTGACATGATACCCGTGATGTTCATCTGGCTGGGCCCAGGAGTGGGCGCTTCGGCGTCGGGAGACGGCAAGATCTTACTGATCTGAATTACGGAAATGTTGTAAGGAATTTCCTTGACAGATTTCACAAATGTGGCGTCGATTCCGCCATTGTCGACGGCGCCGAAGCCCACTTTACCGCCCTTAAGGTCAGTAATGTTGACGAAGCCGGAGGAGCCGGGAGCGCTGCCGGTGGCTTGGTACATGGTGGCAGCCAAGGCGGTTCCGTTGGTGATATCGTGAAGCTTCTTGGCGCCGAAATAGTCGAGAAGGACGTGGAGGGAGAGGACATTTTTTAAGGCGAAGATGGACAAGTGTTTGCCGAGTAGATCTGCCATGCCGGCATTGTCGACGGCGCAGACAGTGATGGTCTCTCGGTTGTTAATGTCGTTAGCGAGGTGGGTTGTGGTTAAGAAATGGTTGAACGTGGAGAATTCTGGGAACTCTGCTAAAATCTTAGTAATGTTGTGAGCTTCAGTTGGGGAAGGTAGGAGTATTAGTGCCAAGGAAAAAACCACCGCTGCAGCGGCCACCATGGCCGCTGGAGTTAGCTGCATTTTGTGGTGGAGATAGAAAATGGGAGTAGAATTTGAGAGGCGGGAGCGTATGGGACTATGCGGCTGCGGATGTTTTTGGGGGTTCTTTTAGGGCCTTTTTCTAGTGAGTGAGAGTGAGAGGAGGGAGAGAGGCAAGTGTGTTCGGTGTGTCCCGTGTACAGTTGAGGTTGAGGAAGGAAGAGTCAAGGGGAAGTAATTCCTACTAAGTACTAACTACGATTCGTAAGCTGGAGATCTGGAGTTGGTGTTTTGTTTACTGAATTGGCCTTTGCTACTTGCTGGAATTACTGCTGTCTTCACAATAGGGCTGTTGTGTCCAAACTGGACCAAAGTAACTAAGGTTGCGTTTGGATTGTAATTTTTGTAGAAAATGTGTTATAATGATCTGATACATGTGAAGTAAAAAAATGATTGAAAAATATATTTTTGAACAACAAAAATATAGAGATTTTTAATTTTTTTTTTATAGAAAATCCATTTCCAAACCAGGCCTAACTTTTCAGGTTTCTTAGTTGAGTAATCAAACAAAAAAGGAAAATGACATCAGCACTCTTAAAAAAAATATCTCAAGCACTCATTCCCTTCTTTTGCATTAATTGAAATTTAAGGAGTTGTGTGAGGTTTTTTGAGAAGTCCTAATATCATTTCTGTTAATAAAATTATGGATCAAAAAATAGGTAAATTATAGTCAATTCTTACGGAATCCGACTAATCTCACTCCGGCCCGGAAGGAGAGACCGCATCCCCCCAAACACGATAACCACAAGACTCGGACCCTTGCGGGCACTGGACACCAGCTCCTAAGGAGGCTTGCTGAAATCAACTGAATTGTGCATGAGGAGCAGACAATTTAGTGGGAGAGGTGGTGGCTACTGAACTAGCTCAGTGGTTTACTTCAGGAATAGATGGTAATTAAATATTTCTGCGAAACTGACTAATAGAACAATCTACTAGCAATTTTACACATTTTCTTCGTTGGTATACAAACTGGTCAGTAACATGGCACATGTATTATTTGTTAGATCGAAACTCTATATACAATAATACTCTACGCTTCGAGAGTGTGTAATTGGATGTAAACAAAATTATAATTAGCCTAATAAGAATGCGACGATGAGAGTTGATATGAAGAAAATTAAGGCGAGAAAATTTTTTCTTTACTCGTGGCATTTCTTATCCTACGTTTTGTACTATGAGTCTCGGTGAACGTGAAGAATACTGAAGAAACCGATCACGTGCTGGAGGCATCAATCTCCCAGCAATCAAGGCAGAAAAACAATAAATAAAAGAGCGGGCAGCACTAAAGACCAATTTGCAAGCTTGGAATATGCCCAGCCTTTGCATCCTCTGTTATGCTTTATTTAACCATTAGCACTAGACGAGTATGCTCCGCAACTTTCGGTCCTACAAATTCTATTCTATGAGCTCGTCACTTTTTATCTTACAAGTAAGCGCTCACTAATCTCCTCCCTGAGTCAGTAAAATCCTGCACAAATTAGGTCTGTTTGATAATTCAGTTCAGCACTTAAATTTAATAAATTTAATATATTCAGATCGTTTGATAATCAAAAATTAAACGTATGAATTAATTAAGGGTGCCTTTGATAAAATTGAAACATGAAATTTGAATGTCATTAAATTATTGAATTATTAAGTTTTTAAATTTCAATTTTATCAAGCACACCCTTAATAACCATTTCTTATTTTTGCTTGCTTACTTCTTGTATTTTTTTCTTTCTTAGGAACTATCCGGTGAAAATTTGTTTTCCTTATTAGCTTTTACTTTGCGCTGATAAAATAAACATCACATAGTACTAAAATTTTGTTAAATAAATGTGCTGACAAATCTTTTCTTTCCTAATCAATAAGGGGACTTGTTACACGGGTAGAAATTCAGAAATTAGACAATTTGAATTTAAATCTTCCTTTCCTCTTCTCCCTTCTTAAAACTCACCCCTTTATTGCTTAAAATAATAATAATTATTATCATTAAAGATTAGCTTGCTAACAAAACTAAACAACGGGACCTTCCTAATCTATGAAAAAGAATGCTTGTTTGACCAACGAGCTAAATAATAGGCACAAGCTCCGACTAGACGAGACGGTGAAGAGCATTGTGTAGAAAAGCTGTTAATAATCACTTATGATTGGACGAGCATTGTGTAGAAAAGTTGTTAATAATCACGTGTCATTGGACGCCTATGCGGTTCATCCTCAAAGTTTCATCATCTTTATGCGTACATCATGAAAGAGAGTCATGATTGTTCATTGGTCTCTTCCAAATTAACCGTGCTGTCTTAGACCAATCACGTTTTGCATAAAATCGTGATTGTTCATATTTTAAGTTGTGTTTGGATTGTATTTTTCATGAAAAATTACTATAGAAATTTGATATATGTGAAAAAAAAATGTAATAGAAAAATATGATCACGAAAAATAACATAATTTTTTGACGAAAAACTGCAATCCAAACAATGAAATCGTGATCGTTCATAAAATCGTGATTGTTCATTGGTCTCTTCTAAAAGCGGAAAACTGCAATCCAAACAAGGCCCTAGACCAAACACGTTTTGCATAAAAATCGTGATTGTTCATTGGTCTCTTCTAAAAGCTAGTATCTTAGACCAATCACGTTTTTTGCATAATTACGCTTAATTAAAAACTTCATCAGGCCATTGAAACCTTTCCAGATTATAGTAACTTCAAAAAATATATCAAAATTGTCATCCGATAGCATGCATGTAACTTTGACATAATGACTTTTGGGTCCTCTTGTCTAATGGAAAAAAAAACACTTTTTTCCATTGTTCTCTGGTGAACCCAACAAATTTGGCATTTTGACATAAATAGGCTCAAATCACTCTTTTTGCACAGCCTTTAATTCAACACCTCGCAATGTATTTTCATAGATCGCATGGATTTTGTTATTCATGGTAGATGTCATGAATGCATCAATAGTGTAAATTTTTTTATATTAGATGGGAAAAAAGCCACAATTCTTAGATTTTTTTTTTTATACTAAGATTGAAACTTTAAAAATAAAAAATATCGAATTCAAATCTTCTTTTTCAAAAATTAAAGATTTTAAATTCAAATCCACTTCTCTAAAAAGAATTAAAGATCTTGAATTGAAATCTTCTTCTTTCCACAATCCCTTGCTAAAAAAATAAAAGAAAAAAAAAAGCCACAATTCCTGTAGCCGATCTCTGGTCACTGTCGATGGGGAGCACCAGAGAGAGAGTCGCCCCGGTGGCTACTGGCTATACATATATACTAGTAACATAAGGTGTCGCTGTGGGGGCCCACCGCCAGCTCCTGGCCCATCCTTCGTGCATCGAATCGATGGCAGCTGTCATAGCCGCAGGCGGAGAGGCAGGTACTGGGGGAGCAAAAAAATAGAAAGCGGGGAGGTGGGTTTCTCGTTGTGGCCAGGCATCCACCGACAAATTTCGTGCTGTGTTGTACAAGGTTATTCACCGACGGTTACGATTTTTCTGTACCTTTTCTTCTCTAGTCTTCTTTCTGGCAGTTGAAGTTGCAACTATTCTCATGAGCTTCTAAGCATACCATCAAATGATTGGCCCATTCCATAGCTAATTACTCAGAATATGATCGAGAAAAAAAAAATTCGAACATCTACAGCTCTGATAAGGTTCTGTTGCAAATCTATGGCTGCCGGGCTGTGTCAGCTCGGCACCAAAAATCAGTCAAAAATTTTTTTTTTCAGTCTGACACAGCTAGATAGCGGAAAAAATCTTTTTTTTTTTTAAGTTGCCTGGTAGCCAACAACTTCTGCAAAAAAAAACTGGCTGCCGGGCACAGTCTAACTTAAAAAAAAAAAAAAAGCATAATGGTATAAATAAGGATCTTCAAGCTTTTCTTTGGGAAGTCCTTATCCTGATAACCATGCAAGTAGTAGTCCGTTGTGAGAAGCAACGGAATGCAATGCATAGGTCTGGTGACTGCTTTTGCATCTAATTATATAAGACTAGGGGGAGTGCCCGCGCATCACGCGAGTGTTTGGTGCCTGTAGGGAACAAAATTTTTTTGTTAAACAAACAATAGTACATTGTGAGAAGAAATAAAATTTAATGCGAAAAGATAAACGATATAATCAATCAATTCACACAGAATTACAATAAAACTGTGTCAAATTGAAGATCGTTGAAAATGCAGAAAGGCAGAGTAACACATAAAACTAACCTTATTCCAGAATCCCCACTGAGAGCTCTTTCTTACTGTTGCTCCAGACCTATAAGATTATAACCAACCCTGACCAATTGGGGTTAGGCGACAAGAAAAATGTTATCTTGTAGTTAGGCAACGCGATAAGAGTCGCTAATTGTAGGTACTAAAAACACATCGACAAAATTAATGAAGGAACTGAAAAATTGGGAGGGTGAAATCTAACCTCACGCTGAACCACCAGGAGTAGCTGGGATTGAAGAACATTCTGAGCTGATTAGTATGAAACCAGGTAGAATTATCTCAATCCTAAAATGCAAACAGGGAGAAACTGATAATCAACCGTTTAGGCATAAATATACCACCGGTTCGGCAATTGAATTGGGTGTAATTAATGACGAAATAATAGGTAATTTCAGAGTTGAGCTCGATGGAAGAGAAAACGATTAGGCAAATCATCGTAGACAAAGGTAAAAGGGAAAAATTAACTCCTAAAACTGAAAGGTAATAAACTAACCAACGTTTGTGACTCATAAATGCATATTATAAATGATAGAGAAATGGGTTCCTACCATTGATAGAGAAATCGTTGGCACATTTCCTAAATCCGATCGTCATTCAAACGTTTCAGACAAAGCAACATCTCAAACTGTTATCTGCGGCTGAAAAGGGGAATGATTGGTAGTTAAGGGATATTTCGGTAACTACACCAACACACAAACATATATGGGTTGTACAAAATTCAAAAATGGTTGCACATTAATTACACATTCCATCAATATCCAGATGGCTCATCAATGACAATTTTAAATGTATTAAATGGGGTCATTTCAGTAAACATACCCAAATACATGCTTCCTTAACTTGTACCTAAAGTTTTTAAACTAATACACAATATTTCACATTCCTAGAAAGCCCCCACCTATGCGATTGAAATTCAACATATTTTTTGACCAAAACTCAATTTTATATAGTATAAGAAAATGCACTTTTCTTCTTCTT